AATGTTTAAAAGCACATTAAATGTCATTTTACTGTAAAAAATATTTTTTTTGTGAGTATAAACTGTATGAATTAACAATTTACAGAGAAAAAAAAAGTAAAAGAACATTCAAAGAAGGAATCTATTTGGTATATTAACATCATATAATTTATTGAAATATATTGTTACACTGTAAACAAATATTGTTGGTTTAACTTAAAAAAATACGTAACCTGGCTGCCTTAAAATTTTAAGTTGAAATAACTGGAAAAAGTGAGTTAATACAATGAAGGAGATTGATTTAATCATCAGTAACTCAAAATAATAAGTTATCTGAACTAAACAAATTATTTAAGTTGATTTGACAAAAGAAAAAATGTTGTGATTACAAATCTTAAAAATATTTTTTTTTACCGTGTATAAGCTATAAAATATATAGGCATCATTATGTCATCCTGTAAGACCTGAAACATAGTCACCGTATTTTTTATGGTGAATTTAAGGCAACCACAGCTGCTTGTTATACCGCAAATTTAACTATATTTTTTTGCAGTGAGGAATCAACTGAAGCAAACAAATGTCGAACACACTGCACTGCTTGAGATGTGTCCGTCTATTGTAAATCATTCTTACTCACCAACCATTTATTTTTGCACAGCAGAGGCTGAAACTTTCTCATACGATCCCTGATACCAGGAACCTTCAAGTGTGCAGTAAATCAAATCAGTGATCAAATAGACTTCAGAGAGACTGGAGAAGCACAAACTACCATAATATTCGACCATGGGCTTCAGTTACCTGACTGCACTTTGTATAACTTGTCTTTACAGCAAACACAGGTTTGTTTTTCTCACATGAAGCTTGTACCTGTGATGAAAGTGGTAGTAGCACATTCAAGATAACAACTCAGAGTTCCCTGAGAATCAAAACCATTTCATTAAGAACATAAAGCAATCGAGGGAGCTATTTTGAGCCTTATTAGTGGTAATAACAAGCGATTTTTATTTGTCATTACTCTATGCATATACTACCGTTACTAGCGTTATAGGCTAAACTGTTTTTATAGATAAAACTATTTACATCCGGCAATCATGAAAACAAATCTCAGATAACGGTTGACTATAGGTAACAATGTGTTCATTTTGCGCCAGAGTTCTCCTTTAATCCATATATGACTTTTTTTTTTATCTGTGGAATGACTTTGATAGTCTAAGTGCCAGTTGTGATCCATAGAATCAGTCAAACCTGTTGTCGAATAAATGCAATTTTCAGCCATTGATATGACTGTGTACAAAGCTGCCAAAGCTAGAAGACCAGCATAATTTGCTCTGCAAAATACAAACTATACCAGATTTTATGGTTTTAGAGCTGGAATTCTGATGTTTTGGTAATGTTCCACATTCAGGGTCTGTGTAAAACCCATACAGAAGGCTAGTATTGTGTTTTGTGTGATGAAGGGTATAATCTTAGTTGCATGGGTCATGTTTTTGGCAGGCACAGTTTACAGAGGTCTGTGCCTGTTTGGATTATTTAGAGCATGTATAGCTGCACCACAATGACCACTTGGCCTCTGCTTAGTGAGATGCTGAGGACGACCCAACAGCATTAATTATTCAATCATGGGCTTTTCATAATTAAACTGGAGAAGCAGTCTCCATTGAGTTTGGGTTTGAGTTTGAGTTTGTCAAATCTATGTGTGTATGAGCGCATGTTTTGGTTTACACTGGATCCCCTGCAGGCTGAGCGTCGTAATGAGGTTAATTAGTAGATTTAAAGATATGATACAGACAGACACGCGTGTGAATAGCAATGAGTGCTCCGGCACTCCATGTTTGGATTGATTTCCGCGGAGAGGAAACAACACACAGTCGTGCTCGCTCTCACAAACATGCGTGCACAGACACTTTAGTCTCTCTCAAAATAGGAATTTGCAAAACCTCACCTGACTCTTCTTCCCAGATTAAATCAATACTTTTCCCAGAGGAGAAAAGATGTTTGGAAAAGTCTCTGAAATATAACCTTAATTATAATTATCCCTTAATTATTGAGTGGAACAACCCAAGCGAGGAGCCAGAGGTGTTCACAACACGACAACACATTCGACATTTAATCCAACAGCACAATCGCAATCATTTCTGCACAAGAACAGCATCAATGCTTCCTCTGAGATCAAAAAAATAAACTCCAATTAGATTCAAATGCACTTTTAAACTTTCAAAAGACAGTTGTGCACATGTTAGGTACTGTGCCTGCCCCCCCTTTTAAGTGCAATTAACATAATGTCCCCAGAAAAACTTTGATTACTAAGTGCCCCCAACTACAGTACCCATTCATATAAATTATGAAAACAATAGCATTAATTATGAATCATGCAATGAGCTTTAACTCTCACAACACTCACGACACACTCCAGTCCACAGCACACTCATTCAATCTTCCGTCACTAATGTGCACTTGTAACACAGGAATCACATGTTCACGTCACAAATGCACACCGCACTGTTCTCTCACAATGGATCTGAACAAAGCACCGATGGGCCCATTCCAAATTCATGACCCTCTGAGCCATAAAATGGATGCACAAATATTTTATGGCTGTATATGGACACACACAACACAAGCACATCCATCACAACATAGATCTGTCAGAGTGACAGCAAGATTCCAGCCGGTGTGAAAAGAAAGGGAAGTGACAAAGGAATGGAGCACAAAGGGAGACATGAAAATAAGGACATAAGACAAAAATTTAACAAAATGTAAAAAGCTGAAGAGTTGAAAGGGTGATATTACGGAGCCCCTCTAGTCCCACTTTGGTAAAAAAAAATTAATTATAACTATCTTGTGGCCTCAAGATAGTAACTCGTGGCCTCAAGATACTAACTCGTGGCCTCAAGATAGTAACTCGTGGCCACAAGATAGTAACTCGTGGCCTCAAGATACTAACTCGTGGCCTCAAGATAGAGTTACTATCTCGTGGCCACGAGTTACTATCTCGAGGCCACAAGTTACTATCTTGAGGCCACGAGTTACTATCTTGTGGCCACGAGTTACTATCTTGAGGCCACGAGTTACTATCTTGAGGCCACAAGATAGTTATAATTAATTTTTTTTACCAAAGTGGGACTAGAGGGGCTCCGTATGATATAGAAGGAAAGTCTGACAGATAAAGCAGACGGACGGACAGACATTGTTAGACAGATAGATGGATAGATGGATAGATAGATAGATAGATAGATAGATAGATAGATAGATAGATAGATAGATAGATAGATAGATAGATAGATAGATAGATAGATAGATAGATAGATAGATAGATAGATACAAGTAGATAGATAGATAGATAGATACAAGTAGATAGATAGATAGATAGATAGATAGATAGATAGATAGATAGATAGATAGATAGATAGATAGATAGATAGATAGATAGATAGATAGATAGATAGATAGATAGATAGATAGATACAAGTAGATAGATAGATAGATAGATACAAGTAGATAGATAGTAGATAGATAGATAGATAGATAGATAGATAGATAGATAGATAGATAGATAGATAGATAGATAGATAGATAGATAGATAGATAGATAGATAGATAGATAGATAGATAGATAGATAGATAGATAGATAGATAGATAGATAAGAAATTAGTTTGAGAGAGGTGAAACTGAAAATTAAAACCATTAGCAGCCCATCTGTGAAGACCACAGGTAAGCCTGTGCTTGCCTCAACCTTAGTGGAAAATTCAATTAAAAGTGGGGCAGGAAAAGACAGCAGCCATATGTCTCATGCTCAGATGAGTTCTCTTTACAATTCAGGATGAAGTCCCGGGTAGCCTGATGACGCACCAAATCGGATTGCCATCAAGGTCACACTGCCCACGTAGATTCCCATAAATGTCTTCAGACATGAAGAGAAAGGTCTGTTTATTTCTGCCCGCTGTTTTTGTCACTTTATTCTTTGTTCTCAAAGGAGGGAGGCTTTATCGGCTCACTAAATTAGTCTATTGACTGCCTGATGAGCTTGATAGCATCTTCATGACTGCCTAAAACAACCTGCGACTGGAACAGTTCATGGTCATATAAAAAGCACTAAGGAGATCTATTAAATTTCTATCTCATATATAGCACTGAGAGCAAATGGGATTTTCATAAACTGAGCCAACATGAACTTAACAATGAACAGTTGTATTTTTATTAACAACTGTAAAAAATGCATTGGTTATTAGTTGATGTTAGTTAATGCATTTACTAATGTTAACTAATGGGACCTTATTGTAGAGTGATACCAAAATAATGACTGTTTTCAAACAAGATTGTTTTCAGACAAGAAGACCATGAACTCTATTCTCAGCCATAGGTCACTTAAACAGTAGTCCCGCACCCAACACCATTGGTTGACTCAATTTTGTGGTCTCGGGCCACTCTAGACGTTTAAAAAAAAACAGCTCACAGTGTTTACAAGAAAGCAAGCTACATATTGCCAACTCTTTACATTAATCTGGTCTTATTTTAGATACAATAATTTATATATTAAAAGAAAACAAAAAAAAATTGGAAAAAATTACATCATATTTTAATTTACTGTGAGACCATATTAATCTCACATGTCTCCACTAGGTTTCAGAAGACATCTCAACAATGTTCTCAAATTTGCCAAGATACCAATCTCTGCAATCAAATGTCAGAGATCTCAATATGAACTCAAACATTTCTCATCAAAACCTACCAAGAGCAACTTATTAGAGCTATGCAACCTACATTCATTCCATAACTCTTACAACAGTGCACGTTTTCTCATTCGTGGCGGTTTTAATTTTTCCTAAAGCATCTTAAATCAAGTTGATACCTAAAACATGTGTTAGATCACCATAACTGAAGCTATAAAAGAGCAGCCAAATTAGAAATATACAGTAAAACAAAGTCTCACTCAAAAGATTGTAGATTCTCATCAATCAAAGTGTCAAACATCTAAATACACGCAGGGTCTTTTACTTCTCAGACACACACAGAGCCTTACCTGTCCTCCAGCGTCCTGTGAGTTCTCCAGCTGGTGAGCAGCAGAACAGGAGTGATAAAGGAGGAGGACAGGGAGGTGAAGGAGGAAGATGACAGAATGGAGGATGGAGAAAAAGTGTCAAATAATGAGGAAGAGAAATGAGAGAACGAGAGAATGACTGATTAATGTGCGTGAAAGACAGAGAGAGAATATTATCCCAGTGGGAAGCCCTTGCTGAAGATAAAGTGGCAGAGAGGAGAGAGACAGAGAGGTGGGATTGTGTGTGGTGTGCGGACACTGGCAGCACTCTCTCTCTCTCTCTCATCCGCTCGCTCTCTCTCTCTCACTCTGCCAACACTCAACTCCCCCGCCACCCCTTCCTCATCTCATTGTCAAATAATGGATTGCCATTCAAAGCAAATCAGACCAGACTCTAAAGAGTTTAACCTGGTGATAATCTCATACATTTTATCAGATCACAAACATTTCTTGTTCGAATTTGTACAGAAAACATTGTAATCTCCTTAGCCTTAATAATCAACATTTTGAGATTTCATTTATCGTTATTGGTGCCTTCTCAGTCAAGCTTTACTATTGCTTATAGTTCGGGATTACTCATCCTGAAACGTTCATGCCATAAAAATGACTGATAGTGTGTCTATCATACTTATGATTTTTGCTAAAGCTAAAAAATTGCACTGGAGGATCCTCTGGAGACCAGAATTTCAGAGAATTTCTAACCAAACAACCCATAGCTAATTTAAAAACCTTTAAAAAAAATCAATGGTTCACAAAGGCGATCTATTGAAGCTTGTTTCTACCATGCATGGATTAAAATTTTTTAAAAAAAGTAGAATTATGTAAAGTGACAGACAGACAGACAGACATTAGATAGATAGATGGATAGATAGATAGATAGATAGATAGATAGATAGATAGATAGATAGATAGATAGATAGATAGATAGATAGATAGATAGATAGATAGATAGATAGATGTATACTTGATAGACAGTGAGATAAACTCCAAATACTAATTTTTTTCAAGCAATTTTGACACTTTTCTCAGATTTGTGAGATATAAACTTGGAATTGTGAGGGGGGAAAAGTATGTATGAAACATTGTCTGGTGTGTATGTGGCTCTGGCCATCTGTTCGTTTGAGAGTAAGTGTGTTATTGGATGTGCAAATGAAGAACAAACTATTCATAGAGAAAGTACTCGGTTACATAAGTAACCTCGGTTCTTTCTAGAAGAGGTTCTCTCGTATTGCGAAAGTTGCTTACGCTATGGGTAAAGTTATCTTTTCTCAAGATATTGAAGCCAAAAAGTATCCTTTATTTTTCATATATTGTCTCTATCTATCTATGCTTATGCTCATTCACTGTTCTTGGCGACGTGAGGTGTAAATATTTTCTTTTGATTCTTTATGAAATTATGTAATGAATCATGTTCAGTTCATCCGGTTAAATTGTATTTGAATATTTTGATATGATTCGAAATTGTTGAAAGTTGAAAACACAAATTGGAAAAAAAAACAACTGGAGGGACAAATTACACTATTATGGAATATTAACACAAACAATACACCAGATTTTACATTAAAAGGCCCAATAATATGAAATGAATATATAATACATTGAAGTCACTGTCACTCACTGAAGTCATTGTCAGGTCAACATACAGTATTTTACACCCCTTGAGTTGACAAGAAAAACACTCATGAAGAGATCTTGACTCATATCTATATTATATGTACCACAAGCATTCTTTTCAATGTCATGTGATGTGTAAAACTCATCTGTGGGAGCTTACCGTGCACATGCCAGAATACAGTTGCTTAATTCATTAAAATCTCAGAAAGCGAAAGACAAAGTTGACAAAGAGTGACATACCAAGAAATCCTAAAAGTGAGTTGTGTGCACGCACTTATGCAGTTGTGCTTACCCATCACTGACAAGACAGATGTTATCACTTAACTCTGGCCTATAATTCCACTAGATGAAGGATTGTCTCTCTCAACACTCATAATTGCAGTGATGACCTGAAGATAAACAGTGTTATGAATCTGTTTATCTCATATCATAGATTCATGTTTGATCAGCCAAGCCTGCTGGTTATTATACCATCTTTATGTAACTCTGAATGTTAATCAAGGAATCGTGCATTTTTCTTACACAGAACTTCAGATGTACCTTTGTGCATCCATGGGTATCCATGACAACAACAGGGGGAAGGGGGGTGGGGGGATTCAGACTAAAGGGCAAAACCAGAGGTCAAAAAATTATGTTTAAAAGAGAAACAAAACCCAGCAACAGCTTTTCTGTCTACAAGATTATAGCTTAGAAAGCATCACGGAAAGATTAGACACGGCTGCTCTTTATCCAGGACATAAACACTGCTCTCTCTCTGAAGCAGCCAATCAACTGCTGTGTCTCTGTTTATCACCTTGACCGACTGTTGTTGAAGATGCAAATGATGCCAATCTTTTTGTGAACTGCTAACAAGGCTTTTTTCAAAATACTATGTGTAAAAGATGGATGGATGGATGGTTAAAGTCACGAAAGACTTGTTAATCGCTTCTGATTCTGGTGTTCCTCAGGGATCAATCTTGGGCCCTTTGCTTTTTAGTATCTTCATCTTTCCTCTTGGTCAACTTTTAAGATTACTTGGTATCAACACCGAGGTTTATATAAATTAAAAACTTGATATTAATGTGCCTGTGTCTTTTCATATAATATAAACATAATTTTTTTTTTTTTTTTAAATATTGCCAGATTGTGTCCCATGTTGTCATTCCTGATGGCTAAAAAGTTAATTAACATCTTTGTATTATCCCGCATTTATTATTGCAATGATTTGCTGGCCGGGGTTTCAAAAGCTACTCTAGATAAATTTCAGTTGGTTTCAGCCGCTCGAACCCTGTCTGGAAACAGGACAAGGGAATCACACCACTCCTGTTTTGGAGTCTTTACAATGGCTTCCTGTCAGATTCATTGCTGATTCTAGAATTCTCATGCTTACATTTTTTGGGCTTTGCATGGATTGGCACCTCATTAGGCCCATCTCTCTGAGCTTTCAACCGCTTGCACACCAGTGCATGATCTCCGCTCCTCGTAAGCTGGCCTTTTAACCGTTCCGCTTACCTCTTAAAATCTATGGGTGATAGTGCTTTTTCATCAATTGCTCAAAAACTTTGGGATTCTCTGCCTGCTGAGATTAGGCAAGCATGATACCTTAATGTTTATTAATCGTCCCTTAAAACGTATTTGTTTAGGGTAGGTTACCTTTGTCGGATTATTTTGAAAGTAGCCTATTATATTTGTCTATTTACTTGTTGAACTTTTGATATTATGCTTTTATTTGGTATTTTTTTTTCTTTGTCTGTATTTCACTTTCATTAATGTAATGTTATTGTTTGTATAACTGTATGTTTTATTGGATCTTATTCTTGTGAAGCGCTTTAAGATGCTACTTTTAAAGGTGCTATATAAAATAAAGTTTATTAGATAGATAGATAGATAGATAGATAGATAGATAGATAGATAGATAGATAGATAGATAGATAGATAGATAGATAGATAGATAGAGTTATAATTTCGGATTACTTTCAACCAAGATAAATCTTTGTGATTAAATCGTAATTATTCACGGATGTTTCAGCTCACCTATAGTTCACAGCAGGATACTTGCAGAGTAACCACATGTTGTTGTGTATTTCCTCACATTACCTGTGTCCACGTTATTTTTGTCTTCATTTTTGCAACAGTGCCCTCGTGTGGTGGATATGTGGCACAATACATTTTCAAAACGTAACTTTATACAATTCATGTTGAACGCTATATCTGTGTGTTTGCCAAAATAGAAATGTCTTTCCTATTCATTTAAGACTGGAGTAGATTGCTAAACCGTAGGCAGAAGATTCTTACTTTGAATTAGTGGATTTTATGTCTTCCCCGCATCAATTGCCATATAAGTCTCTGTTTGATAGAAACCGTTAAACAGTGTTGACGTCAGAGAAGTGTTTAGCTCATTTCTCTCCTGTAATCTAGCCTGCCCACTCTTTTCCAGCGCCTTTTTTAGCAACAGCGCAAAACCACCACAAGAGGGCGCAAAACTTCACAAAAGAACTATTTTGGAGTGTAAACTAAACTGAGTGTAAATGTAAATACATTGAATGTATTTATTATACTTAGTACGGTTGATTATTTCTGATAGATTATTTGAGGAAAGACCATTATTATATTACATTATATTATAATTGACTTTTTTTTTTACAGTCTATGGTTATTGCCCCCCAAAATTTCAAAGTTCTGCATAGAGAACTGATTCATATAACCAATCAGAAGTCTAGCCGAGCAGCACGTGATCTAACCCGGAAAAGCGAGCTGGGTGGATACTGGATAGTCTATTTTTCAGGAAAACATCTTTATCTAAGAGTGAAGGGAAAAAGTGGAAAAGCAACAGATCTGAGGGGCGTTTTATGTTGTCGAATAAAATCTGAATCGTCTCTCAGGATAATTCGTGCTGTAGGGGATGCTGGGGGTGGCAGAGATGACGGGCAGGTACGATGTTTGAAATAGATTTTTATTAAATATGTTATAGATAAATCTTCCTCCCTAGCCAGAGATGCAGCTATCTAACGTTACAGTCTTATTGTTTACTTTATTACTTTTCTTCTTTCTTTCCCCCAACCCATCTATTTAACTGTAAGTGTTAAATCTTTGTTTTATATAGAGAGAATAACAAAAATGGCATGGGGTTGCTAGACCAGGGCGGATGCTAAGCTAATTAGCCTCCCTAGTTGAGTTTTTCTGGGGTAGACACACACACGCGCGCGCGCGCGCGCAGAGAGCTGGAAAGACATTCAACACACAGCAAATGTTTAGACAAGCCCTGCCATACTGCAGTTAACTCTAACTGTGTATATAATAGTCTACTTAGATAAATATAAGATTACAAATTACATGAATTGTATTTATAATTTATTTATTTAATAAAATGAATTGTATTTCTGTAACGCTGCTATGTGCTTCTTATCCTTCAAATGCTAGTGTAGAGGTTTTTGTGCCTTTCTGGAGACCAAATTCCCAAACATTCCTAAACATTCCTGATCTGGATGCCCCCACAGACTATCAGGTCTTTTGGGAAAACAGGGATATAATCTGCTTCCTGAGATGTTCCTGAGCGCCTTAAAACTGACAATTATCATGTCTTAACAGTGTTAAGGGATGGACTTATTTACACATTAAATTTAAAGACATTTATATAATGTTGCAAAAGGTCTTTTTGGAGGAGCACAACCATTTTCAAACTTGATAATAATAAGAAATGTTTCTTAAGCAAAAAATTCAGCATATTAGAATGATTAGGATTATGTGACACTGAAGACTGGGTCGAGTTATTTTAAATTGTAATACTTCACAATATACTTTTTTTACTGTATTTTTGATCAAATAAGCACAGCCTTGATTGAGTATAAGAGACTTGTATCTACTAGGTTTCTTTGTTCATTGTTTGTTCATGTTAGGTCACATGCAGTACATTAACTAATGTTAAAAATACATAAAATGCATTAGTAAATGTTGAAATTACCATTAACAAATGCTGTTAAATAATGTTAACAAATAAAACCTTAATGCAAAATGTTATCCAAAACATTTCTTTTTGAAACTTTTATGCCACATACAGTATATTCTTCCTAAATGCATGTTGGATAAGCTGAGAATGTGTTGTCTACATTCTACACTAATGGTCATACACACACTCACAGATGGCACAGCTCCAGTTTCCTCACAGTGTGAGACCTGACATTAAACGGTCTCCATCTCTTAAACACACAAATGATCTATTTATACATCTACAGTGTGTTGACACACAAGCAGATCTTTTCTTTTCAAATCACCATATTAGGGAATGTGTCTTTGGAATAGTAAGTCTGCTTTAATGCTGTAAAGGGAGTGAGGGGAAGTCTAATAGCCATATGACCTGTGATGTCAGAGGAGAAGTGTCTGGTGCAGGGAATCACTGAGTCATTTGGGATCTTGTCTGGCAGTGTGAACTCAGGCCACGGCAGGCTAATTCTGTTTGTGTGATGTAAACATTGGTTGAAGTCTTACCCAGTCACTCCTAAATGGTGTAACTTAATACCTTGCAAAATGCCAGACAGGCTACATCAAGGGGTTTTTCTTTAGAGAAGCATCTAAAATTAAAATGACACTTTTATAATTGAAAATATTTTAAATTGTACAGCATCATTACTCTTCAGCGTCACATGATCCTTCAGATTTGCTGCTCAAGGAACATTTCTTATTATTATGTTGAAAAAAAGTTGTGCTGCTTAACATTTCTGTTAAACTATTATTATTATTATTATTATTTTCAGGATTTCAGAATAGAAGTCTTTTGTAACATTATAAACATCTACTGTCACTTTAATCAATTTAATGCATTCTTGCTGAATAAAAGTAGACATTTCTTAAAAAAGTGACCCCAAACATTTTGTAATAGTGTGCATATACAAACATTTGTTTGGTACTATAGATAAATCAAAGTTGTTCATAGACGTTGCTGATTGTTTCTCCTGACGTTGATCTGTTTCTGACAGCAACATGGCCAATGCCCTGGCAAACGCCTCGTGCGAACGGTGTAAAAGCGGCTTTGCCCCGGCGGAGAAAATTGTCAACAGCAATGGCGAGCTGTATCACGAACAGTGCTTCGTCTGCGCCCAGTGTTTCCAGCAGTTTCCTGAAGGACTCTTTTACGAGGTATACTTGCATTAAAACTGTCAGGTAGCATTTCATCTGGTTAAAGCGATGATATTCTACATTTCTTTTGTTTTGTTTTTTATTAAATTATATAAAGTCCCTGAGGTCCAATTATAATGTTAGATTTGTTGTATAATGTTGTTTTGTGGAAACAAAACCGATATAAAATATAATATAACATATTTGTTATAAATAATTCAAAAAATTATAACCAATTAAAAAATGATATACATATCTAGTCTATAAATTATTATAAAAAACTTTTTTAAATTCAGTAAAAAATATTTTGGACTGGGTGAAGTGTTGAGATCTTGACGTTACAGTATGTTTTTTTTTCTACAAGTAGAATTCATAATTTGCAACTGATTGACTTTGAGACATATTCCCACTGGAGCCGATGTTATGTTTAATTTTTTCTCTCTTTTGTCCATAGTTTGAGGGAAGGAAATACTGTGAGCATGATTTCCAGATGTTGTTTGCTCCCTGTTGTCACCAGTGTGGTAAGAGATGCACATGCATAAACACGCAAACAGGTGATGTTATTGACTGTGCTAATTGTGAGTTGTGTCCCTCATATTCCCACAGGAGAGTTTATAATTGGGCGTGTGATTAAGGCCATGAATAACAGCTGGCACCCTGACTGTTTCTGCTGTGATATCTGCCAAGCCGTGCTCGCCGATGTTGGATTCGTCAAGAACGCCGGCCGGTGAGTTTCTAGCCAATGAAGGGAGACCGTGAGCATGTGATTGACGGGGTCCATACGTTAGGTTTGATGTGAAAACTGGTCTAGGATCAGCCCACTGATGAAATTATAATTTCATTAAAGGAGAAGTTCACTTCAAAATATATTCTGTCATCATTTACTCACCCTCAAGTTGTTTCTTTCTTCTGCTGAACACAAAAGAAGATATTTTGAAGAATGTCGGCAACCAAACAGTTGAAAAAAAAAATACTATGGAGGTCAATGGGGTCCATCAACTGCAAAATATCTTCTTATGTGTAAAGCAGAAGAAAGAAATCCAGACAGGTTTGAAACAACTTGAGGGTGAGTAAATGATGACAGATTTATTTCCTTTAATGAAACATGAGCAGTTCTGTTTATTCAATACACGTTTTTTCCCTTTGAGATGTTCTTTAGCTCAGCTGATTGTGTATGGGGCCAAATTGATACATGTAAATGCAAATAAACAAAGTTGCCATCCGTGTGTTCTGATTGGCTGATGTGCATGTCTGTGTTTTCCAGCCATCTCTGCCGTCCGTGTCATAACCGCGAGAAAGCTCGCGGCCTCGGGAAGTACATCTGTCAGAAGTGTCACGCCATCATTGAGGAACAGCCCCTCATTTTCAAAAATGATCCCTACCATCCCGATCACTTCAACTGCAGCAACTGCGGGTCAGTACGGCAACAAGCGGTGCCTCTGCTGTGTCCATTTACTGAAAGTGATGTGATCTGGAGGTTGTATGTTTTACAGTAAGGAGCTGACTGCGGATGCTCGCGAGCTGAAAGGTGAACTCTACTGCCTCCCCTGCCACGATAAGATGGGTGTGCCGATCTGCGGAGCATGCAGGCGCCCAATCGAGGGCCGTGTGGTCAATGCCATGGGCAAACAGTGGCACGTCGAGGTTTGTGTGCTTTCTTTTTTTATTTTAAGCAAATAAAATGTTCAACACAGTGACAGTACAATATAATTTTAATCCGGGATGCTAGTTAATAAACAATAAAACGAAAAACTGTTTCGGGTCAAAATGCCAGCCTTGACAAGGGTATCAATGCAAACATCATAAGTAATGTCTTAAGTATGTAAGCGGATCTGGGCATGGGATACCAGGTGTCCTTGAGGCCTTTCTTGCATGCCACATATGATATATGTAATATAAATCAAACAATTATACAGTAGAAACGGAGACGCACACAGTCAAATTGCAAAATGCATCAGATCAATATTAATGTATTCTATATAATAATTATGTAGTAAAACATTAAGTGATATTTCAGTTTCTGGAAATACTTCAAGACTGTAATAAGCTTCAAGTTTACTTGTTTACTTGACTAATTGCTTGAAAAAATAGAGAATTTAGGCTTCATCCTGTAATATTTAATTTGAATATTTTTAAATTATTTTTCAATTGTTTCATTTAAAAAAGATTAGCATATTATTTTTGACTCCTAAAATGTTGCATTTATGACAACCCTATACTGAATTGAATTTTTAATTTTTACCAATTAAGACAATATTATACCAATCTTTTTCTTCAATGTGAGGTGTCCGCTGTGTGATTCGATTGGATGATCTGCCTCTGACACTGTTTTATATTTTATATGACTTATATTTTTACGTATATTTTGTTCAATAAATTCAGACTTTTTTCAAAAACATTTCCCTTACCCAAAACTTTTAAATGGTACTAGTTTATATTTGAACTTCACTATGACAGTTTGTATATTTGTGTGTGTTTGCAGCATTTTGTCTGTGCCAAATGCGAGAAGCCTTTCCTGGGACACCGTCATTACGAGAGAAAAGGTCTTGCTTACTGCGAGACTCACTACAACCAGGTAACGCAGGCCTGTCTCGTCTTTCAAAGCCTCTTTTGAAAGCTATTATTTATAAATATTATAGATAATGAAACTTTTAGCTTTTAATGCGAGTGTCTGTTATGTCTGTTGCGCAGCTCTTTGGTGATGTTTGTTACCATTGCAACCGTGTGATCGAAGGAGACGGTAATTGCTGTTTACTTGAACATGATATTGACATTTTAGTTCTCAACCTTTAAAGCTTCAGTATTTATATAATAATGCTTTGGAGTAGAGTTGTTATGGCTACGGGTAGTGCTGTTGTGAGTTAAGATGCTTTTGTGTTTTCTCTCAGTGGTGTCGGCTCTGAATAAGGCTTGGTGTGTGAATTGCTTCTCGTGCTCGACCTGTAACACCAAGCTCACTCTCAAGTAAGTTTTACACACACATACTCATCCTACATCACAATCTAGCCCAGTTTCCTTTTTCTGTTTGTGGCTTTTCGCTAGCCCTTGTTTGAATTCGTTCAGAAGTGTCTTTAAATTGGGTCTCCGGGGTGCTGTGAAGTTCTTTGGATCATATCGAACCTTTCTGTCCTTCTAACTCTTGTATTCTCTACTTCTGTCCCCTTCAATTCTCTCCTCCGCTCTCAAAATGCTCCAAAATTCCATTTCTGTTCCTCTCTCCCACTTCAAACCCAATTTCCCCTCCTTTTCATTGTCCCTGACGGTGGCCCTGCAGGGACAGATTTGTGGAGGTGGACCTGAAGCCAGTGTGTAAACACTGTTACGAACGCTTGCCGGAAGAGCTGAAACGGCGCTTGGCGAAACGTGAACGCGACTCTCGCGAACGCCGAAAGAAAGCCATCGCCGTCTGTCTGTAACCCTTTACTCTCTTTTTCCTTCTTCATGCTCATCTGCTTCACTCTTTCTTTATCATTGGTTAGTAGGGATGGACATGCCAGTCATCGGCTGATACTATTTTTCTTAAAGGGGTTATTAACTTTTTTTTTATTTTTTTATTTTATTATATTGTTGTCTGAGGTCAAATTATGACGTTCGTTTGGTTTTTGCATTCAAAAATATCAAAATAAATAAGTAATAGGCTATTTTGTACCCTAGTTTTGAGCCTAGCTCAAAAACGCTTGGATTTTTATGGGCGTCTCGACCGGAAGATGATAATTGTATTGTTTTATTGTGAATTAATGCATTTTCATATTTATTAGTTATCAACCGTAACATCAAAATCAGTGTCAGTCAGAATTTGAACACCGGTGCATCCCTGTTTTCCAGTGTTCATTTGTCAATTCAACATCATATTTTTGATATTCATCATCATATTGATGTTTTTCCCCCCATTTTTTGGTCATTCATAGACATTGCACTCAGAGTTTTTACTAAAAATACGTACATATAATACAGATGAATTTATGCAACCGCTGAAACAGTATATCATGGATATAACAGTCATAACAATGTTATTTATTATTATACTATATAATAGTATTGTTTATATTCTATTATATGGTTGAATATTTTCAATGATTATTTTTAATAGTTTTAGTTAACAATAAAAAACACATAAAGAGCACACTGTAAGTAAATGAAATGGGTTGCATACTTTCAGAACATATGTGTCTGGCCTAACGCACTTTCCTAAAAGCAAGATTTGTGTTTTTAGGAACAAGTTTGTGGAGTTTGACATGAAGCCAGTGTGTAAGAAATGTTACGAGAAGTTTCCTCTGGAGCTGAAGAAGAGACTCAAGAAGCTCGCAGAGACCTTGGGCCGCAAGTAGATCTCCTCGCCATCTTTGGTGCTTTACGAATGAATGGAGACCAAACTAAATCTGGATCGCATTTCATTTCGGTCTTACTTTATCGTTCTTAAACGTTTTTTCCATGATAAAGTAGCCTGCAGATTTTCTTTGGTCTCGTTCTAACAGATTGTTCTTGTGTCTTAACACAATGCAACCAAAACCAAATACTTTTATAATGTTTATTGATATATACTCGCACGTTTCTGAAGATAATGCTAGTTGTAGTCACACTGTTCAGAGCATGTTTTTGACATCTGTTGCCTCATATGCATATCAAGGCTGAAACCCTTCATGTGTCCGACCCTGTGTCCGACTTTGATCTGTTGATCTAAGAGTTGTATTTGATATTTAATGTATGCTCAATCCTCACATATTTCTGTCAGACAGGATCAAAAGTTAATGCATGATGTAATGAGTCTGGAGGAACACGACAACCTCTGAACCAAACTCTTCGCTCGACTGAACAAAGCGCTCAGGCTGTGTAATCTCCTCAACTTAAATGATCTTGCTTTATTAAAGCCCTTGCCTTGTTCTCGAAATATGCAATAAATGACACCACTTATATTTCTTCTAAGAGGTTTATGAACTGTTGACTGTCGCGCATCATAACATCCTTGTTGTTTTTTTTTCATTTTGTTTTATAAGTTTCGTTCCTTATTTTTCTGCAGAAAAAATGCCTTTTATACTCTTCAAATTTAATGAACTCACCCCTTGTGTTTTTTTTATTTACATTGACTGCATTTACTATTGATTTATGTAACGATGGACTGAACTTAAACATGATTTGACTGTCCTCGTAATGGTTGATTTCGTCATCTATTTTTAAGTATGAAAGACGTTAAAAAACCTCACTACATTTCTACTCTTCATTATATTTGTGTGTTTGTGCATTTAGCTACAGTATGTGCTGATTTTTATGGGGTTTTTTTTTATTTCCTTTTATTACAGTCAGACATTTCATTTGAATTTAAAGTTATATTTAGACCCATAGCAAAACTAGTTTATGCATTCACAGAATGACGCATTTTGGCAAAATATGCATTAATATGCTTGTTGGCAGCTTTTAAATAAATTACACTGTTCTGTACGAAATATATTAATAAAGTATGCACTATTTCTGATTTCATTTTTTTTGTGATGGAGTTTTTAATCTCTTTTATTAAAGTTTTCAAAAACTAAGATATATGCATTTAATCAGCCTGCATTTACATATAACGATCCATAAAATATTGGGATCTTGCAGTCCAATAAAATGCAAAAACAATTGTGAGGAGGTTTTAAAATTGTAAAACAACCATAAAAATAGTTAATTCGACTCAATATGAACTGCATCGAAAGAGGGACCAAAACATTATTCAATACAGAATTACAAAGATAATCAAATGAGAATGAGTTTAGATTTGGAATGACAAGGGCTAAATGATGAGCAGTGTTGGGTGTAATGCATTACTCACTAATTAATTAGAAAAAGTTGAAAAGTAAAGTGGGGATTACTCTTATTTTGTCTGTAATTTAATTAGTTACGCCTGATGTAATTTAATTAAATACTGTCTAGATTACTGAACTATTCCATTTAAAAACATTCGAGGATTTAACATCAAATTTAAATGTCAAATGTAACCTCCCGTAGGTCAGTTCAAGTTCAATTTTATATGATTTATTTGAAAGAATTAAGAGTAGTTTCATGTCTATCCTTTTATTTGGTCGAGGATGATATGGAATTATTGCAATACATTTTAGAGAGAGTAATTAGCACTGTAATCTAATTACACTGTTGAAGATTTTTTTGAGTAACTTATCCAACATGGATAATGACTAATTTGTCACCTTTATGTGAATTATTCTTTGAAGGTGATGATTGTAATATACAATGTTCTTTCGGAAAATGTCAACAGGTGGCGCTGTTACACAAGAGCTGAAATTCATAGATGAGAGTCTTCACTAAAAGTTGCATTTAGTTTAAAAAGAGACCTTCAGTCCTCATTTTAAATACTCTCTTCCTCTAGTTTCGCTTTAGAATTAAAGCTGAGGTGCAGCATGGATCAATTGTACAAAAGATTTGGAGAAAAGAGAAGCAACACAATAACAGTTCTGGCTATTATTGTGCGGATTGGATTGAATAAGCAACTTCTCAATGTCACTGTACCGATTTGCCGTTTTACCGTCTAAAACTGCTTCTAATCACGAATAAAACAATACCTCTGATTCTATTACTGTAGCTCAATAGCAGAAGTGAAAATAGTAGAAAAATATTATCCGCCTCTGTCATCATTTACAATGGCAGTAATTTACATTCAGCGGCGCTAATTTCTGTGCTCTCGAGGGCTGCAGCAATTCGTCTTGTCCCTGCGAGCATCTCCTTCTCTGTGGAATCTTTTCAAATGAAAGGAGAGAAGGAAATGACAAAGAACAATTAGAGGCATTCAGAAACTTCTCAAAGAGAGCGATTGAAGAGGGTGGATTTGACTAGTTAGTTCCCTCAGAAATAATCTTCAACAATGCATGACGTCACGGGCTCGGCTGTAACCTCTGTGAACATTGTCATCCGCACAATTCGGATTATAGGGGTGTGTGTGTGTGTGCGTGGCCTGGTAAACCAACACTATCTCACGACCAATTCGTACGAATTCGACGCATGATTAAAAAGTGTCTAATTCGTAGGCTACTAATTCGTACGACCTCACTCGTACTAATTCGTACGATTTGTCTAAACCCACGTGATGGTTAGGTTTAGGGGCGGGGTAAGGGGTAGGTCATTCGTACGAATTCATACGAATTGGCCAATTCGTAAAATATGTACGATTTAGCAAAATCGTATTAATTCGTACGAGTGAGGTCGTATGAATTGTTACCAGTGGCGGCTGGTGAAAATTATTGTAGGGGGGCTGAATAAGAGGGGGGTCTGGGGGTTCCCCCCCAGAAAATTTTGAATTTAGTAGATGTGATTTCCTGCATTCTGGTGCATTTTAGGCCTTAGGCCATGCCCTTACCTATACAAATAAAATAACTTAAACCAGTCAATACCAATAGTCAAATAATACAATAATAATAATAACAGTTTGACAGTTAATGATAATGAACAAGTTGCATGTTTATTATGCTCTGTGTGCTGACAGAAAAAGTGCAAACGCATAATATTGATAAATTATAATATAGGTAATACAAAAAAAAAAAAAAAGGTAATACAAAAATCTAGTTTAATCAATCCCCAGCTGTAGACTACATATTTTTGACAAATTGACAATTGGATAATGGATAACAATGTGTTGATACTAGAGAAAGAGAGAGAGAAAAGGCTCTGAAAGAGAGGGTGGGACAGCATTCTTGATTGTAACACCCAAGTATAAGAAGACAGTTGATTTTAACTAGTATGAAACACAGTAATCTAGCTCAGAACTTAAAAACATCAAAAACAAAGCAAACACACAGGTATTAATATTCCTATAACTATTTTAATATCAAATGTGTGTGAAACAGTGTTTATGTGTGTGTGAGTGAGTGAGTGAGTGACAGAGCGACTAACTTTACATTATTTCCACTCGACGTCACTGGCGCTGCCATTCTTCTCTCATCTGAGGTAAAAAAATGTCCCGTGGTGCGCGTGCACGGTGCACTCCCCTAATCTGATACTGTGGGCGATATTTTCAGCGCCCCCAAACCATAAAATTTGACGGCGCTGATTGGCGAAATATAAACTTTTTTGCATAGCAACCGGGGAACTATTGGCTTAAATTCCAGCACTGTGGGGCTGAGCGAACTGGCGCCCTGAGAAGACAGCCTATTGGCTATACTACTACACCAACATAATAAAAGTAACGAAAGTGAATGCAAATATCATTCTGGTGAGTTCAAAACACTTTTCAAAGTAAAACCATTATTAGCATATAATTAACAAAGATTATTTTTCAAAATGATAAATTATAATATATATATTAAAAAAACAGACAGACAGGTCGGAGGGAGGGCGGCGCCCCAGCGCCCTCTATAGGCGAGCCGCCCCTGATTGTTACGAATTAGCCACTTTTTAATCATTCGTCGAATTCGTACGACTTGGTCGTGAGATCGGGTTGGGTAAACCCTACATGGGGACAAAATGTCCTTACAAAGATGGCAATATCTGACACCCTTGTCCTTATGAGACATCTTTTGGTTTCCATGAGGAAAACAGCTAGAATAATACTAGGTATTGTTTTTTTGAAAATGTAAAAATGCAGAAAGTTGTCTGTGATGGGCAGGGTATTGGGGAGAGAATTTAAAGGAGTAGTTAACTTTTTTAAAAAAAACCTTTGCTGATAATTTACTCACCCCCATGTCATCCAAGATTTTAAGATTAAGATTTAAGATTTAAGATCAAGATTTAAGAAATTAAGATTTTTGATAAAAACATTCCAGGATTTTCTCCATGTAATGGACTTCATTGGGAACCAAACGGTTCAATGTCCAAATGAGAGTTTCAGTGCAGCATCAAAGGGCTTTAAACTACACCAGACGAGGAATAAGGGTCTTATCTAGGACCCTTCGAGTCATGACTCGAAAAAAGATTTGTTCATTTTGATGAACGAGTTTGAACAGGAGAGTCATGAACGCTCAACACAGAACAGAGCAAGGCGAGCATTTGTGCTTATAAAACTTAAACTTTTTTATTTATTTTTGAAAAGACCGATCGTTTCTCTAGATAAGACCCTTATTCATCGTCTGGTGTTGTTTAAAGCCCTTTGAAGCTGCACTGAAACTCCCATTTGGACCTTGAACCGTTTGGTTCCCATTGAAGTCCATTATATGGAGAAAATCCTGGAACGTTTTCATCAAAAACCTTAATTTCTTTTCGACTGAAGAAAGAAAAACGTGGGCATCTTGGATGACATGGGGGTGAGTAAATTATCAGCAAAAGTTTTTTTAAAAGTGAACTACTTTAAGAGTAATATATTTTTTGCCTATATATATATATATATATATATATATACGTATATACACACACAGTATATAGGCATATGTAGCCTATATGAGAAAATATATAACTCTTATCAACTTTTTATGTTATCTTTCTATTTTAAATTCTATAATTACGTTTGGCCCCTTCAACCCTGTATATGTGTTTCCATCCTTATGTTATGGTAATGTTTCTCTCCACAGAGCGACCTTTTAATAAACATCTTTAATTTGTATATAGACGTGCTGTGCATAGACTTTACTGTCCCTGTTCATTGATTATGTTGTGCCTTAATGAAAGCACCATAAAAAAATCTTAAGTACATTTTTGAAATATAGGCTATGATACGGCTAGCTGGAGGCCGGAATTGTATAGCGTCTACTAATTAAGGATTTACATCAAAAAGGATATTTGTTCTGGAGCCTGCAGTGCATTTGGTTTGATGATTATGGTGTATGAAGATCACGCTGTGCCCAGAGGCCGATTCTAGTGCGAATGAGAAAATATAGAGCTTGTGTCCATAAGAGTATCCATCTTTAATTATTCATGCTGAGTCGGAATAGTCGTACTTGCTAGACTTTGTTATTCACCGATAGGACGCATTGATTGACTACCGTGGACGTTTGGTTCTCCTGCACGTGTTGGATCAATTTGTGTGTGTATGAGAAAGAAAGGTTAAAAAAGAGAGACAGACTGATGGAAACGCTGAGGTTCAGGACTGCGGGGAGTTATGGCGAAGGACTGAAAATCTATCATGGTGACAGTATGCATGGAAAACGTCAATATGTGTCACACACAGAAAACCTTCCGGGTGGATAAAGGAAAGCGACAAGCGCCGAGCCGGGGATCTGTGTGTGGAAACACAGGTGCAGTCATGCTTATCGGGTTTCTGGATGTCCAAACATAGCCTGGTTCCTTTTTTTGATTAATATTATTGATCCGGCGGTGAAAATTACGGTAGCCCACTCATCCGATATAAACATGGCTCCTCCTCTGAGCCCGTATCAAAGTTGCTTTTCTTTTCACTAAAGTTTAGAGAGGGAAACGCTGTCTGAAGTGCGGGCGGCCAGGATGTGTGTGCTTGCATTAATGACATCTCTCCTATATATGCTCCAGCTTATGTGACCGAGAAGTGTTCTCCACATCTTCTACTTGTCAAATCTTCAACTTTTTGTCTCCTTAATTAGCATATTGAG